CAAGTCTAGTTAAAAGTTGGTCACAGATGTTGGGATTTCGTGTTCTTGATTGCATACAATAAATAATCATTATAATTGCGCTACTTGCAGTTGGGTGAATATCACAAACTACAATTCACAATGCAGTTATTACTTAATAATAAATAAGATTTACCAATGTGTCTGCTTGTTGTGCAAACACTCAGATGTAGGTATACTGTCTTAAAAACATTTCTGAAACAGTTTCNACCTTTTGTACGTACATGTAATGTTTGCATGAATATCAAGACCCATAATTGCTTGGATCATCATGTAATCAAAAATCTATTTAACTTAGATAGGTATCTCCCTCTTTGGGACACACAGCTATAATAACAAATGAATAGCATTCTATGCCTTATACCCCAAGTTGAACTCTCTCTAGTTTTTTTAACATGAAATTAATTTGTGGACCATATACAACCAAACCATTTCATTAACAACTTGAATGTTATCAACTGATGAATCACTACACAGAGAACGTACCAAAGATAAGCAATAAAAGCCTATACATTTTCGGATTAAAAGAAAAACGGTAAAAGAGCAAAGATACCACAGTATTTTACCACAAGTACGCAAAAAAAAAAACCTCTTAAATTCTCAGGAAATGAGTTGAAATTAGCTGATTGTTGCTAAAACGTTACATATCAAGTCTAGTTAAAAGTTGGTCACAGATGTTGGGATTTCGTGTTCTTGATTGCATACAATAAATAATCATTATAATTGCGCTACTTGCAGTTGGGTGAATATCACAAACTACAATTCACAATGCAGTTATTACTTTGTGTAAGATTTCTGCATAATTTGTTTGCTATTCAAGATGTTGTCACTCCAAATATACAAGCGTGTTTCATGCATTTTGTCAGGATGAACTAATTCACAATTATCTGTTCATTTTAATAAGCTGATGATAGCCTTCCTCTTAGAGAATTAGTCCCAGAGTTGCATAGCATGTAATACAGGTTATTAAGACATTGGTAAATAAGATTTACCAATGTGTCTGCTTGTTGTGCAAACACTCAGATGTAGGTATACTGTCTTAAAAACATTTCTGAAACAGTTTCCTCTAACAGGAAACCAAACCACAGAACTCTACATTTTGGGATAGCACTCACCGAAAGTGACATATCTGATGACACGTGACCCTGTCATGCACAAAGCATGTTTTAGCGCTAATTCTTCTTTAAATGTCAGTCATGGTAATACCCAGATAAATTGTGAATGTTACCTGTTTGACTTGAATAAATAAAACATGTTAAACATTTTTGATTTGATTCTGTCACAAACAACATACATGTGACACACTTGTTCAGACACTTAAAAAGATAACCACAGCGACATTTCATCAGAAACTCAAACCGGACACATGGCAACCACAAACATCACAAATGAAGGACATGGATTTGTCTTTTCTGTGTGCTTTTCTGTGTCTTAATTTTTGCCAAAAAGTATGGATGTTTCAGGGCTTAAAAATGTGCATGTGCATTATGACAGCAGATAAAAAACCCTGTGACCCAAAAAGTGTTGTAGCAACATTTTATTCTGACTTCAAAATGTGACATTCTATGCCGTTCAAGCTAAGAAATAATCATCCATCTCTCAGATTTCTGCCTCGTCCTCAGTATTTAACTAGCTTCTCTTCCACATCCATTTTCTTGCATGCCTGACTAACAGCAGGTTACTGTAAAAGAGTCTGTACGCAACACATCTTATGAACTGTAGGACAAAAATTATTTTAGGATAACCGACAGTATGTTTCACTCTATGAGTTAAAGCATGTTTTAAAAATGGTGGGGTATATTAAAATACAGCCATACAGCAGAAGGCCTAATTACAGGCATATCTTGATATGTAACCTAACATGTGACAGGAACCAAAACCCACACAGAGAGATCAGAAACAGCAGACGGAGAAATAACATTTGACACAGATCGAGAATGAGAAGTAGATATGCGCAGATCCTGAGAGCATCCTGTTTCTGTTTGACATGATGGCGACGAGACTGCTTCTGTTTCTCTGTCTGACGGGACATGTGTTTGCCAAAGAACCGCCTGGTAAGAACATTTAAAATTAATATTTTACATTTTAAGTTGAATTGTGTAATACATTATAACAGTTTTAGCCAGATTTGAAGGAGCCTAGGCAGGGCTTCTGTCAGATCTAATCTAAGTTTTCCTCCAACTATCATGAAGTGAAGCTACTTTTCTTGTTCATTCATTTTTATATATAAAGTATTTGTTAATACATATAAACAAAAATATTAGTCTTTTGAGATAACTTTTTCTAAAAATAGAATCCAGATTAGAAGGCAAGGACAGCAGAACTGACATGAAATATGATTACCGTTAGATGTTAATAATAATTAAAAATAATCAACTCCTTTAACCAAATGTTAATCAAACAGCCTGGTGGTTAACGGTAAAAGCCTTCCTTAGCGCATTCTTTGTAAATTCCCTATTACGCTCTGTCACCATTTCCTCTGTGTGGGTGGGGGGGCTTTAGTCTATTACCATTTGCATTGGTCTATGTGTAACCCTGCTGTGTTTTTGCTTAGTTATCTTCATTAATCTATGTTCTACTTATCTCAACCTTCTTGTTTCTCTGACAGATGTGGAGTGTTTAGTGATGCATCTGGAATATATTCACTGTTCCTGGAATAAGGACCGGACTCCAGAGGTCAATTACACCTTCTATAGCGGGTTCGTAATTACTGACAGTGACCCTGACCCTCTCAATCAATCTCTAAAGAAGAGTGAAATCTTGGACTAACATAAAATATAAAAAGTTGACATTTTAATTTATTTATGATCTGCTGTACAGGCACTGGTTTCTGAATGTACAGTCATAGACAAAAACATCAGCGCCATCCATTGATTTGTATGTGATAATGTATAAATAGTGATTTATTTACAGGTTCCACAACAAAACACCCAGAGAGTGCCCCAGCTATTTTTCAGAGAACAGCATAAACACTGGATGCAAACAGCCCTATTTACAAACAGGTGATAGGTTCTCCGACTTTAACACCAAACTGGTACATGGAAACGACAGTTATGAAAAGATACATGAACTCACAGAGAGAGGTAAGCATTTTTACTGGGGCTCATCCTCTGGAGATACTATTTAGGCAGTATTATTTGAAAATGAAGCACAACTGTAACTTAAATGTATCTTTTTTCTTTAAAGAAAATGCTAGTATTTTTGACATAAACTAATAAAAAGAAAAAAAAGAAATATTTTATTCATGTTTGCCCCATTACCTTGTTGCCATATTGTACTGTATCTTTGAATGGTCTGTTTTTTCTCCAGTCAAGTTCAATCCTCCCTCCTACCTTCAACTATTTGCCTCATGCTCACCCTTTTTTTGATTTTACTAATATCCTTGTTTCCTAGAAGAAATTTTTAACGGATGGTAGGTGCCGGATATCCGACAACTAGACATCGCTTGTAACCTGAAGAGGTGTGTTACTCTTTAGACCCAGGTCAACCTTCGGTAGTCCAAGGAAACCTCAGGTTAGGTTTTGAACCTGACA